CTTTCCTGCGCTTCCGGGGAAGGCGACTAGTTGCGCCTGCGCGAGAGCATGCGGCCCGGAAGTACTACTCCGTCTCGCTTGCCCCCTCCAGCCGCTGGAAGTAGAAATCTTTGCATGCTGTCTCTGCAGACAATTTAGTTTGGTTCTTAGGTTCTTAGTCACGGTATACAACGCGCAGGCGCAGAAGCAACGATAAGCGCACCGACTAAAACGTGAAATCAAACGTTCCTCTGCTCCCGGGCATGCGCTTTAGGAGCAGGCACAAAAGTAAAAGCGCCTTTGACAAATGACGCATGCGTATATCGAAAGAGCGATTACCCTCGCCTGAAACTTCAGCATCTCTGTTTGAATGGGTGAATCGAGGTTCGCGTGAAAAAGTTTTAGGAACCGGGTAACATGAACCTGGGCTTCATTCCGGAATCACACAATCTAGCTGGGATTGTTGCCCCACCACCTTTTTTTGAAGGTTTCTATGCTATTGAGGATGGTTGAAATGTGCGAAAGTTCTGCTGTTCATGTGTAACCCATACTCGCAGCAACTTTTTTCGACTTTATAGAGACCTGACCACTTTTGGCTGTTTTCAAAAAATCAAAGCCGGGCATGGTTAATAGTTGGATGGCAAGCTATGAGGAATTCCCAGAGCTAAAGACTAGACTTGAGAAGTAAAAGAAAGAAAAATCCAGAAGATAATAACAAACCACTTTCAGGCTGCTGTCAATATAGGAGAGCTGTGTTAATCTGTGTTGAGAAAAGAAATCAGGTGTCTGGTAGCAACTTTTCCAACTAACAAGTTTGATTAAACCGCACAATCTTTCATGACCTGCTGCAAATTGAGTTGATTCATTTAAGTCTGTATCGATTGCTTTCCAAATTGTCACTGGAAGAAGAATTTGTACATAGCCTTGGGTGATAAATGGCAAAAGGAGAAGGGGACGGCAGAGGATGAGATGGTTAGATAGCATCGCTGAAGCAATGAGCGTGAAACTGAGCCAACTCAGGGAGACAGTGAAGGACAGGAAGGGCTGGCGCGATGTGGTTCATGGGGTCATGAAGAGCCGGACACGATATAATATATCCATAACTGGGAAGGGAGGGGAAAACCTACTGAACAACAACAACTAAATCTGCTATCATTTTTTCTCAAATATCTTTTTCATCTTTATGCTATTAAATCACATTCTGAAAAGCCACTTAACACATTGTGCAAAAATACAAATAATTGCAGTAATACATATAAAGAGCAGCTACATAAGAATATATCGATATTTGCTTAAAAATAAAACAAGCTGCAATTCTATATAGAATTACATCAGTGTTGAAATCAGTACTATACTGAAATTTCTTATTTTATTCTAAATATACCTCATTTATTCCTTTACTGATTCTGTTTAATACTTGCTATGTATGCTAACTAGCTGGAAGGAATTTGAAAGATGATGCATAATCAAAATATCAATATTACAGAGGATAATATATCCATAACTGGGAAGGGAGGGGAAAACCTATTGATACCTCCAGATTCTGGGGTACAAGTTCTGAATTAGTCTCCTTTCAAATGTGAACTCAAGAGGCACTTAAATTGTAGTAAGTTTGTATCTATATTTTTGTTCATGGTACCTCCATTCTTGAAGCTGTAGAATCTGGAAATTCCATAAGCATGCTTAACATATAACTGGCTGTTTCTCAGTCTCTCTTCCAATTTTTAGTGCCCCTCCCTCCCTGATTTTCTAGTCATGTCGGCAAAGTTTACCACAAACCCACCAAACTGAGAACTCGGGAGCACATGAACAGTAAAATTGCAAAGTGAACAGATAATTCTTTCTCATAAGTTGCACAATATGGTACTGACAAGTACTCATCTGGAGATTTCTGGAAAGGAGGATCACAGGAAGAATACATAGTTACTGGTGAAAAGCAGGGAAATAAGAACATACAACTCATAAGTCAACACAGAAACAATTGCTTTAAATCACAATTATATTTATCAGTCTATAAAGAGCAGTTGTGTCATAATTTCCAATGTTTGTGGAATTAAATATTGCTTGACATAACTTAGGGATTCATTTAAGTCCAGGTCTGTTGTAGATCTAATGGATACATTTTAACTAGGTTATTTGAAATGTATCTGAAATAAAGGTGCCATGCCATACATCTTCTCTTTGAACAACAACAAAAAAATCCTTTATTTCTTCTGAAGACAGAGCCAATTCACTGGAATCTCAAAAGAAGCTCTCTTGGACAAGCTGTCATCATAGGGAATGTGCCATGTGTTACCATCAGTCTGCACAATTGTATCATATGGCAAAGCATCCTGTTAAATAATGAAAGATAGGACAGTATTATGTTTGCATAATAATGTTACCATTGTATAACGTATTTTAAGCCAAAGATAGGAAACCTGGTATCCTCCAGGTGGCTAATAGTGATGAACTGTGGGAATGTCTAAATGGAACCACGTTGCTTCTCTCTCCCTCTCTCCATCTCTATCTATACATTTACCCTCTTTTATGAGAGGAAACAAGCATAGCACTGATAAAAATGGTTTCTTGTAAAGGAATGTAATTACAAAACAATTCCTTCAGTAAAGTACAGTGGTACCTCGGTTCACAAACGCTTCTGTTCACGAACAATTCGGTTCACAAACAGCTCCGTTCGCAAAATTTTGCCTCCGTTCACGA